GTGGTGGTTGATGTTCCCAATTCATATTGTAACTATGACCATCTGATTGAAATTTGTGAAGTGTTACTAAAAATAAATGTGTAATGGAAATCGATGCATCCAGAATGTGAAGGTCAACAAACTTTGTGATATTGGAGCCAAATAATTTGGTTTCTTCTCTTCTCCTAATTCCCTTAGATCATTCAATTTTGAACTACCAGAGGTAACATGCGAATAATTTGAATCCGAGTGGTGATGCATTTTTTCTGTTGGCGCACGTGACGCGTAATCAGGTGACAAAAAATGATTAATTGTTGAGTGTTAAATAATTGGAAAAACAAAAAAAAAAAAAAAAGAAGTTCACATACGATAATCGTTCGCGTTGGACGGCCTACGTTTATTTGGGTTACGTTTTGTGATGACCTTTGGTTCTTTTTGCGGAATCTTGGATGAATTGGTCTGCACCTGTGACGTACCATTCTGTCGACACGGAAACCATGTTAACCGTGGTTCGCACATACTCAATTGTTTTTAAGAGGCAAGCATTATAATTACCGATGGACGCTTTAAATGTTTCCGAATACCGTAATCATTTGGATAATGATACTCTACGCCGGGTTGACCCTGTATCTGGTGATGCGCTGAATTATCGTCACCCCTCATCTCGTCCGGGTAAGGTTCATGGTGTTCAGGGTGTTGATACCTTTCCTATTGTGATCACAGGGAAGTAAAGATTTATCATGGATCAAAGAAATCGGAATACCGATGATAATTAATGGTTCGATATCTACCATCGACGGACCCGCTTGTATTGAACGACCGGATTCGGGAGAAGCGGATTCTGCATCTGAACAGAAGATAACAGCGATCAGCGAATGGGAAGAAAAAAAAAAAAAATAGAGGGCACCATCACCGCCGTGGACAAGGTCGAAACAAAAATAAAAACTAACCTATTAGTGATGAGATGGACATCGAGTTGCTTTTCGAATTCGTCCTCTGTTATAATTTGATGTGTGCAGTCAAAAGGTTAGAAAATTTACCGAGGTGAGAATTCGGTGCAAGGAAAGATCAACATACATTCAGTTGCGAATGATTTGGTTTTATATCGGATAGGGAAGAGATGGCCGAGGCGGCCATCTCCACATCCGACATTTGGTCATTGTCCTTTGAAGAGTAGTGATC